TTTTTGAGACTGGATCTTGATATACAGTTTTGTTTCTTTTCTTAAGACAAGGTTTCACAACGTAGTGTAGGCAGGTCTCAAAACGGCTATGGAGCCCTGCTTGGTCTCAAAGTTGCCATCCTCCTGCCTGAGCCTCCTGAGTGTTGGAGCTATGGCCATGACTCACCACGCCCTCCTAGTCTATGTTTCTGAGACGATTTTGATAGGGGTCTTACTCTACATGGTCCAATGTTTGATGCTATGAGCTAAAATCTGAGAAATAATTAAAAAGATAAAAGGAAGCAATTATATTTTAAAAATAATTTAATGTTTAACTTCCTAGGAAATCACTCTGTATTTGAAAGGAAAGAATTTTTATAACTGTAATAAAACAGATTCAAAACACGTATTCAGGAAAAAAAAAAAAAAAGATTACCTTTTGAGATCCTCTGGCCTTCCCCAGCCTCTAATAAAAAGTTTTGTGAGGAGAAGTCTCCGGTAGAGAACATCTAACTTGCTCACACCCATTAGCAGCAAACAGCATCTAGAAGCAAAATTTTCAATCATTTTAATTTTTCCTTTTTTCTCTCTTTTCATTTTTTCTCCCCCAGTGACCAGGGTTTTATACGTATTTTGCAAGCACACTATCAACTGAGCTACATCCCTTGCCCAAAATGTTTTATATTTTAAACAAGATAGGAAATCAATCTGCTAACAAATTCTTTGAATATCAGGTAAAATTAAAGATTGAGAGTAAATTCTTGAATCAATTCCTTGGAAAATCAGGGAAGCTCTTATTCCACTGAGCCACCTCCCCTGGAAAATCAGGCATAAGAAGTATTTGTTGAAAAACAAGCATGAGAATGAAATAAGTTAGTATATATAAATCACTTACATGATGCTCTGCAAAATTGTTATGCCTATTAATAATAACATGTATTTTCATGAGCTATAGTTCGTTAGTTGACCTTTTCTTTGGTTTTAAATTATTCTGTCTTTATTTTTTAAATTCAGTTTAATGAGAAAAAGATAAAATAGCAATGAAACAGTTTCAAAACAGGTTAGGATAGTTACTATAATTAATACATTACATATTGTTGTCTTCATAGTAGTTATTCAGAAGACAAGATGCAGACATGTCATCTTCTCTAAACAGTATTAGTACAAACCTTTCTTCTCATGGAACTAAGAGAAAGTAGTTGTATGTGTATCCTAACTATCATATATATGTTACATCAGGTTTTTGAAAATAGCAGTTAACGGGTAGAATTCTCACCCTGACTAACTCTATATGCTGATATCTGTGAACTAAGCAACTACACTGCAGACAGCAATGTGCAATACTAAAACCATACTTAAAATACCTGTCATTTTGGTCTTCTAAATGTGTACTACTTCTAATGTCATATCAATTACTGCTAGATTCTCTTTTAAGTAAAAAAAAAAAAGGTAATAAAAGTAAACAAGGGACAAGAAAAAAAATGTAGCAGGATTGTACTGCTACAATATCGTACATGGTTCGATTTCTAAATTTCTGTGTAAAAAATATGTAATTGTTTTTTACATTCTATAGGGATTTAAATTTTAGAATATTCATGGTTGTTGGAAAATAGTAGTTTCATTTTATGTCTAAGGTATGTGATATTCAGACAGATACTGATGTTAAGCTTAAATGCCTCTGTTATAGGATAATATCATTAGGCTTCTCTTCTGGATGCTTAACAACTAAAGTTTGCAGACCAAAAATTGGACAGATGGGCTAAAATGTTAGTTGACTCTACAACAAATGATAGCTATATTTGTCCTCTTATTCCCATCTTGTAAGAGGCAAAATTAAGTTTGTTATAGAAGTACTTACATAATAAAACTCATTTCTATAATTCTTATATTGAGGAAATTAAAAATGTAACATTAATTGAATGGATTTAATACTATAGGTCTACGGACAAGAAAAACTATTTTTGGAAGTTTGTGTAAATGGATTCAAAGTTAATACCTCTATCATGAAATTGAGTTCAAATGTTCATCTGCAAAGAATATACTTAGCTCACAGGCCACAGAAAAACAGGCAGGCTGGCCAAGAGTTTACTGACCTGAGTTAGAAAATCAAATAAGTCACAGGTATGTCACAAATATCACATGATGCCATCAGACTATAAAGTAGTATTAAACTAATGAATCTAAAACTTTTAGGCCAGGGAGATGGCTCAGTAGAGTAAGCTCTTCCCTGGCAAGCGCAAGGGTCTGAGTTCAATCCCTGGTTCTGCCAAAATAAAATAAAATAAATAAAATGAAAAAATAAAACTATTAACAATTGAATATTGTTTTTAAGAGGAAAATTCTGACACATGCTACTATATGGTCCTACTGGTGAACCTTGATTCCATCATAAAAAGATAAACACTGTATGATTCTATTTATATGAGATACCTAGAATACTCAAGCTTGACAGAAAGAAGGAATAACAGCAGTTAAAGAGTTTGGGGGAAAGGAAAAGAGGGAAAGTTGTTCTTTAATAGATACAGTTTCCTCTTTGCAAGACGAAAACTAGAGGTGGACGGTGGTATTTTTTGCTCAGCAATATGAATGTACTTAATAGCACTTAACTGTACACTTACTTAAGATAGTAATCAACATTAGAATATTTTACCTTAATTAAAAAGAAGGGAAACAATTTAGAATTTGGAGTTAATTTGTGAAAACTGTCAGAATCAAAATGGAGTCACTTATCTCAAATACTTAATGAAACAGAGCTGGGAGGTCATAAAACATTTTCTTCACATGAAAAATGTTCCATAGCACTGGTCATTCAAGAAATGCAAATTCAAACAACACTGAGATACCATCTCACTCCAGAAGGAGTGGCTATCATAAAGAAATCACCCAACAACAAATGTTGGAGAGGCTGTGGGGGAAAAGGAACCCTTTTCCACTGCTGTTGGGAGTGCAGACTGGTACAACCACTATGGAAAGCGGTGTGGAGACTCCTCAAAAAAACTAGGATTAGGGCTTCCCTTCAATCCAGCTATTTCTCTTCTGGGTGTTTTTCCAAAAGAACTGAAAACATCATACCACAGTGATGCATGTACATGCATGTTTATAAGAGCACAAATTGTCCTAGCTAACTTTTGGAAACAACCCAAATGCCCATCAACTGAGGAAGGGATAAAAAAGATGTGGTATTTTTATACAATGGAGTATTATACAACTATAAAGAAAGATAAACTTGAGGCTTTTACAGGTAAATGGATGCAACGAGAGGATATACTGGTAAGTGAAATAAATCAGACCCACATGTATAAATATATTGTCTCCCCAGTATAAGAACCTGAAAGAATAAATAAAATCTGAAAGGCACAACCGACATACATAGTAAACTGGAAAGAAACTGAACATAAGGAATAAACAATTGAGGTGAAGAAAAGAAGACAGGGAAAAAAATACCACGTAAGTATATATAAAGGAGAAGATGATGGTATTACTAATTTCTATGTTTTTTGAAGGTAGCAGTTAATGTTAAAAATTTTTACTTTGACCAATTTTATATGCTAGTATCAGGGCTGGGGAGATAGCTCAGTAGAATAAGCACTTGCCTGGCATGCGCAAGGGCCTGAGTTCAATCCCTGGTTCCGCCAAAAAATAAAAATAAAAATAATACATGCTAGTATCTGTAACCTGAGCAACTACACTGAAGACATTTTGCAACACAAAAACCATGGTTGAATACCTTTCATCTTGTGTTTCTAAATGTGTATCATTTCTAATGTCTTATCTATTATTTTTATACTCTTTAAAATACATCAAAAATAAAAAAAGGATAATGAAAAAATTAGGTTTAATGAAGAGTGTTTAATTGATCAATCTTGCATGCATCTATCTTGTAATCTGAGCAACAAATTTGGTAGCAATATATAACAATGACTGTTAATTTTCTATTCTTATTTTGAAATTCTGTACCTTTTTTTGGTTTTATGCTGCTTTTTTTGTCTTGGTTCTTGTTATTTGTTTTTTCCTCTTAAAAAAAAAGGTGTTCATGCATATTTGCCTGATAACGATCATAAAAACTTCACCCAAGGGGATGGGGATATAGTTCAGCAGCATAAGTGCCTGTCTGGAAAGCACAAGGTCCTGAGTTTGATCCCCGGTACTCCCACCCCAAACCCCCCCCCCAAAAAAAAAAAAAACCTTCACCCCAGCTACAGCTTTGCAGTTAAGGCCATTTTTGAGGGTATCTATTCAGCAACGGTTGGTCCTAACAGCACTACTGCAAGTATCCTTAATAATCCACAAACTTGTAATCAAAGTCATTTCTCTGAGAACCCTTTCCTAGCCATGGCCAGTACATGTCACTGCCTGCAATCAATCCCTATAACCATGGCACTTTGCTTCAAGCAACCTGCATATACTTCTTCCCTTTTGTCTTTGAAAGGTTCCCTTTCTCTCAACTAGATGTGACCATCAACCTTCACAGCATGCCTATCGCTGAGTGCAATACCTTTCACATTCCCAAGTAAGCTTATTTCTTTGGAAAGCCTTTATTTCATTTCACTTGACAGTACTGGGGATTGACTCCAAGGCCTCTGTACAACATGCTACATGACTAGACATTTTATACATATACGTTTTTATTTTTAGCAGGTCTCATCAAATTGCTATATTGCCCCAGTGGGGCCCAACCTTGCAACAGTCCTTTTTCAGTCTCCCAGACTGCTGGGATTACAGGTGTGTGCCACCATGCCTGGCTTGTTATTTTAGGTTGACAGTCTCCTTACAAAAT